GCCTCTACACCATGTCCTCCCTTCCCGTACGTCCTGATTCTGGCTCTACCTACCCATGATGCTCCTACTATCAACTCATTGAAGATTTTACGTACGCATTTATCAAAAATACCAAATCTTGCTCCTTAAGGAATTTCTCGGGTTTTCTTTTTTATTAATCCTGCAACGCACCGGAAACATCCGCGCAAATTTGGCCTTTCTTCAAATTTGCATTTTTGATTCTCACCTTCTCGGCCTTTTTTAAAAAGCTTTCGTGGATTTAAACTACCTTTCTAACTATAAAAAGCACGTTATACAAAATTCTTTAATCTAGTTTTTCTTGCGTTTGCTCGTTCGCTTTTCTCCTTTCTCTTGTTCTCTCCCTCCATCCTCACGTTCACTTTTACGATGTACGCCATAGTCACCACGGGTTTTAAATGAAGCTACTCGCAAGATTGCGCCTGGACGTTCTAGAAGACGCAAGATCGCGCCTGGACGTTCTAGAAGAAGACGGCATTGGAAATCTTCAACTTGGGCCGGTACATGATGACACTGGAGGCAAAGAGACCGATGGAGATGGAGACGGCCACCAGCATCATCCCACTGCCAAAATCCAAGCCGCCATTCAGGTCGTCATTCAGCCATTTTTCCACGCCCCTGACGCTCATTCCCCCTGGCACGATCAAAAACACCCCGGCCAAGATAGGGACCAAGGCAGGGCTGTTCGTCGCGTAGGCGTACAGATTCCCCGCCACGCCACACACAAAGGCGGTCAGCACCGTGCTGCTCCCGGGTGTCATTTCCCCCACCGTCGGCGCCAAATTGATGGTGACGTAGCCAATCGCGGCTACAATGAGCATACTCAGCCATTGGACCGGAGCTGCTTTCATAAGTATGTTGAAACAGGTCACGGTGGCGATGAAGAGAGGAATTTGGGTCCACATAGAGACTGGGTTACAGTTTTCCGTCGACGTCCAGCTAACATTACTCTCCCAGAAGGTCATTCGGTGCCCTGCGTCCCACGGATATCGTGTGCATTGTGTACGGAAACATAAGTTGTGAGAGCTTCGAAGCCAGCAATTCGACCACTTTTCATCAAAAGGCATTTTCCCACATGCCCGACCGGTCGCAACCCTATTCAGGCGCAGGGAAATGAGCGCAAACACAATGTCCGTGCCTCCCTCCCGCGTCAGTGCTATTCACTCACCTAAATCGAGGCCGAAACCAATCAAAAGGGCGTTCATGAGGGCCGTCATCATTCTGACGGTCCCTGAGATCATGCTTTGCGTCGACAGTTCTGCGGGCGTGCATCCGAAGGGAAGGGAAATGGTCGCATATGAGGATACGACCGAGGATTGAACCAACAACAATCTAAACAATGACCCATCCGCCCCCCCCTTCCCTCCCCCCCTGACAAAGGATAGGCCGCTAGCTTCCTCAAAGACGGCTATCCAGCGACCTTCCCCCTTGTCCGTCTCCCCTCCCCTGCATTAGTATGACACCGGCGTGCAACACGACCAGGGAAGCGGCAAGCAAGGCGCCCGCATCGGGGGCCAGACCCGACTTACGACACTAGCGAACACGAGGAAGACGTACCAATGATGGAGGACGTGATGCTCCAGCCGGGGAGGAGGTAGACAATGGGCCCAAAATGAATGGCCAGGGAGCAGGTGTTGGGGATATGGGCCGCCAAAATGGTGGCGAGGAACGATGCCAGCCACGCAGAGGCAAAGACTCCCAACTTCCCGACAATGTAGGACACGTCCGCCATCACCCACAGCCCCCCCGCAAAAATGCCGACAAAACCCGCCAGTAGACCGTCAATCAACGAGCCCGAGAAGAAAAGAGGGGCGACACATCCCGAGGCAATCGCATAGCAGGCCAGTTTGACTTGCCAGGAATACAGGGGAGGCTCGGCGATCATGCTGTCAAGCTTCTTGATTGCAAAAGGCAAAGAAGGAATGCGCTGCTCCAAAATCAAATTCACTGCGAATGGTGGAAAGGGAGAGAAGGAGCGAGAATCAAAGCCACGTCCCCATAGCTCTGCAGATCTGTGGAAGTGCAGGCACGTGCAGCCGGCGGGCCGGACGAAGGAGTATCGCCGCCCTTGTCTCCCACACGCTTTTTGCACCGGTCTGCTGCTTGTTTTCTACC